AAAACTTAAAAAAAATATATATAAAAATGTACTTACATTGTCAGAAAATATGCGTGTAATAAGTAATAATTTTAGTCTGCTAAATTAATAACATCTATAAGCTAAATAAAATTTGATTTATTTGTCAAACTTTTTTCTAAGTTTTTTTCATGCGACTAGCTTTTATGTCGACCGAAACAGTAAAAATAAATACATGTTGCAGATTGTGTATGTTAAATTTATTTAAATAGATGTTTTATTTTTTAATATGATTGCATATTCACATTGCACTGACGCAAGTTTAGACCATTTTATTTTTAATTTGTCTATGATTAATAAATAGTGTAGTTAGCGCGACCCTAGGCAAGAAAGAAGTTTCTGGTGTCGGCGCCAAGGGCTTTTCTTATTTCCTCGGCCACCTTGTCCACTTTCTCGCGGGTACCCTTAAACTGGAGGATGACCGCTCCATCGCGGGTCCTTCTGGTATCCCTAAGGGTAACTCCTAGCCTTTGAAGGTCCACCGCTTTCGTCACATTGCCCATGACTTCTGTATACCGGCGTCCTTCCGGGATGGGGCCTATAATGGTAGCGTCCGTTTTTGGGACCCTCCTGCTCAGCTCTTCTGCAGTGGGTCTGGTCTGTCTCGGCCCTCTACCATCGCGCACTACTCTGCTCCATCGGGGCTCATCTACTTTTGCCTGTGTCTGTCTCCCTTCCGACGGGCTGGGTTGGTCATCCAGTGTTCCGCTCCCCTTCAGTGGGGGGAAGTGAAGGTTCAGTGGTTGCCGCCTCCTGTTACCCTCTCCGCTCGGTGTACTTGACGCGACCGGGATCTCCGCGAAAGATACGTTTCTCGATATCTTCTTCTTCTTTGTTGACTTTTCAGATAGGGGTGTCTCCTGGTCAACCTCTTCCTGTTCAGACGAGTCCATCCGCGGCCTCTTAATGGGTCCCTTGGCGTTGCTGCTGGCCGCTTTCTTTCTCTGTCCGGATGGTCCCGACTTTCCCGCCGGTACGTTGGGGGTAGTCCGGGTGCCTCGGCTCTTGTTAATCTGGATCACTGGACACGCCTTCGGTCAGAATTTACGGTGGCATTACTGCCATCGCCTGGGACCTGATTCAACGCCCCCCCCCCCGAGTTAACACGATTGCCTGATGACGATGCCGGCGAGCTCGTGTTAGAACACGTGTTTGAAAAAATAACTATAGTTTGGCCAATGAACCAGTTGTCGAGGTTCTGTAAATAAACAAATGAAAAATACATTGACCGTCAAATTATTAAAATGTGGTATTTTATTATAATTGTTCTAATTAAAACTAGCTGCCTGTGTTCCCGGCTTTGCTCTGGTTAAGCAATACAATTGCAACAAAGTACTCACTAATTATAATTTATACACTTTAAAAAAACATTTCTGCCCGGGTTAATTTATACCGTGTACTTTGCTATCACCATACTAATTATTGCAATGCTTTATGATACATGATATTTTTCGTTTTGTTTTCTGACGCGTAAACAAACAGAGCTAATGGTTTTCCGTCAGGTGACATACAACTGACTATGCAAGAAGCATGCATTTTGGGTACACAAGCAGCTATATATAATAAATTACATAGTACATACCTTTATTTGGGCATCTTTGCTATTTTAATTACCAAAAAATTACTCCTGGAAACTCAGTATTGTTGCCCCATTTGCCGTTTTTGCCACGATGTTTGAATTCTCCATAATATTATTATACTTAATAAAATTTTTAAATAAATAGATAATTAGGTATAAGATTTTGAAATTTTTTTCATAATATTGACATTTTAACACCGCCGTTGTGTTGTAAAACAAATATCGACCAGCAACTATATAATATAAATATGATACATCTTTGTTAACACAGTTACATAAAAACTAAAATTGATTATTAAAAAAATAATTATTATTATTTATAATAAATCATTTAAATAGAATTTTAAAACACTGAATAGTTGTATGATCATTACCTTTGATCCTCTGAACTTGAAACTTCATTAACTTCAAAAATAGTTATCCAAAAACGGTTATCGACCAGTGAAAATTCTGAGTACATAATTCTTAATTTAAAAACTTAATGAAATTTATGCGTTACCATTTAGGTTTCAAAAGTTACCATCAGAAAAACTAAGTTGGGAGGGGGGTAAAAACAAACGAATTATGCGAAATTGAGATCACATTGTATACAAACATTATGGAAAAAAATATTGTAATTATTAATTAAACCCAGTTGAGTGGTTGAGTGGTTCACGATAAGTGCACCCTGTATAATATAAAAAATATAGTGTTGTATATTTATATAGTTCTCACTACTCATATAATATGAGTAATAATATATCCAATGCGAGTCTAGCATAGTATGTTTCTGAAGTTGTACTAAAGTAGTTTCAGGCTAATAAATTAAAAAAAAATAACTATAGCTTGGCCAATGAACCAGTTGTCGAGGCTTTGTAAATAAACAAGTGAAAAGTACATTGACCGTCAAATTATTAAAATGTGGTATCTTCATATTATTGTAAACCTTGTAAAATTAAAGTAAACTAACTACACAATATATATATATATATATATATTGTGTAGTTAGTTTACATATTACCTTATTGACAAGTGCTCAGTAAGTATATTTAGGGCTAGTGGTAACGGGTGTCCGAATGTACCCTTTACAGATTTAAGCTGAATAAGTCTGAACAAGATCAAACATGTACCTATATTATGTTTAAAACAAAAAAAAAAAAACTTTAGACAACATTATTTATAAAACTAAAAACTAAAAACTTTCAAGATGTGAGGAGAAGTGCGGTTGGGAAATACGCGCAGATAAAAATAATACTACACTCCACCTTTCAAATGAAATTTGAAAAATTGAGATCACGTTGTATAAAAACAATACTAAAAAAAAAATTGTAATCTCTTATTAAACCCTATGAGATATTGTGTGGTTCGTGATAAAAGAATCACCTTGTGTAAATAGACACTGAAACTTTGTCGGTTAAATGAAAAAATATTTCCACCTCTGTGTGCAGGGCGAGGAGGGTTATCGATTAGATTAATTATGGACAGGGAAATACCAAATAAATATTTTTTTAAATTATTGATTCGATTCTACGGTTTTCACTAAGTTATAAGTTGAAAGTTAAAAAACCGACCATTTCTTTGGTTTTTCCAGGTTTTGAGGTAGAATAAATAAACTTTTTCACCCTAGACCAATCAAAGTAACAATCTACATATTATATAGGTGCTTCTTGAGTAAATCGGTTTAGAAGAATTAAAAAATTGTTTTCTGACACAAAAAAAAAACGTACATCATTACAGAACTAACTTCGAAGCTAAAATTCCTTATTGTTCCGTTATTCAATAATTTGTTCATTTAATCATGAACACGATTGTTTTGTATCCATTAGCTATTTTTGAATCATTATTAAATTACCTGTTTACCTTTCCACGATTCATTTTTAAACCACGACTGAATTAACAAACCATGATAAATTCGTGTTGTTTGTGGTTAAGTGATAATCATTTTTTGTCTATTGGTACAGCTTGATTGAAATAATATTTTATAACTATAGCTGAATATTATTTAATTTAGAATGTTGTAAAATGTATTCACGGGAATAACTATAACGTTAGATCTACCATACATAATAATTGAATCGCTTCATGCAAAAAGGGCTTTAGTCCTTAACTTTAAACTTTTGGAAAAATGAAAAAAAAACGTTTGATATATTTCAAAATGCATAAACATATAAAGGCTTTATCAAAATTAATAGATATTAAACAGTAAAATTACACTCTGTAAAACAATATTATTTTTTTAAAATGCTGTCCAGAGTATTAGCTTTCTAATATAGTGGACTTAGACCCTTTTTACAAAAATCAAATATTTTCTTAGTAACTAGTAATGGATTAATTTGTAATCATATATGTAATCAATAACAATGGCTACATATCTGACTATCTAACATTAATCGGGTTACAATTGTCTAAGACTTTAATCAATCTTCACCTTACTACGAATAAGACGAATAATATTATGTACATGATAGTATAAATAATAAAAATAAAATTAATCAACACAACAGTAATTTATTTAATTAAACGATAATTTTTACTGAATAACTGAATTCAAACAATACACCACTGTAAATACTTAAAAACATTTAAAAAAATTATTGAATAAAAACTGGCCAAAACAGGATAGACAGGATGTTTTATTATCGTATTCAGCTATTAAATTAACACAGTCATTGTCGCTTATGTATGCTTGTAACTTGTTTTGAATATCTGACCACTGGCATTCTGTACAAGACGAACCGTTTCCTAAAGGTATCCTTGTAATACGTTCGTTGATATAAAATGCTACTACATAATCATTATTAGCGTTTTCAAAAAGTACGGCCATAAAATTTGCAGCCGACGGGCTGAACATGGAACTCCTCCATTGGCGATTTTTCTTTTCAATAAAGTTCGATGCCGTGAGTGGACTGTTGTCTTTGCCCAAACCCAACATGACGTGTAAGCTCAAAATGTCAGTCCGGTTTGCAAAGTGAAACAAACCATCGGGTCCTTCTTTTTTATTTATTTTTTTTCTGAAATCATAAATTATACAATAGCTATTTATAAAACAAGGAAAATATTCATAAATTAATGAGCACAATCAATACAACGTGGTTATATATTATCCAGAGTAGGCTATTATTGGAATATTTTTGGGTCCGATGCGGGGTCTCGAAGTCATTGGTATTAGGTATAATGATGTGTGTATTTATTGTGCCTGTACCCACTATGGCTTATTTAATACTGGACCAATTTTTTCAAGTTCCACCTTTATAAAACAACAATTCTATGTAATTGGTACTATAGAATAACCATGGCTACATATCTGACTATCTAACATTAATCGGGTTACAATTGTCTAAGACTTTAATCAATCTACACATTACTACGAATAAGACGAATAATATTATGTAAATGATAGTATAAATAATAAAAATAAAACTAATTAACACAACAGTAATTTATTTAATTAAATGACAACTTTTACTGAATAACTGAATTCAAACGATATTGTTTATAATACACCACTGTAAATACTTAAAAATATGTAAAATAATTATTGAATAAAAACTGATCAAAATAAAAATGGTCCGGCTGTTTAATTATTGTAGTCAGCTATAAAGTGAACACAGTCATTGTCGCTTATGTATGCTTGTAACTTGTTTTGAATATCTGACCACTGGCATTCTGTACAAGACGAACCGTTTCCTAAAGGTATCCTTGTAATACGTTCGTTGATATAAAATGCTACTACATAATCATTATTAGCGTTTTTGAAAAGTACGGCCATAAAATTTGCAGCCGACGGGCTGAACATGGAACTCCTCCATTGGCGATTTTTCTTTTCAATAAAGTTCGATGCCGTGAGTGGACTGTGGTCTTTGCCCAAACCCAACATGACGTGTAAGCTCAAAATGTTAGTCGTGTTTGCAAAGTGAAATAAACCATCGGGTCCTTTGTTTTTATTAATTTTTTCTCTGAAACCATAAATCGTACAATAGATATTTAAAAAAACAAGGAAAATATTCTTTAAGAGCAGTCAACACAATATGGTTATATATTATCCAGAGTAGGCTATTATTGGAATATTTTTGGGTCCGATGAGGACGTGCGTATTTATTGTGCCTGTACCCACTATAACTTGTTTAATACTGGACCAATTTCTTCAAGTTCCATCACTATAGATCACCAGTTCTATGAAATATATAGTATAGAGAAGAGGAGTAAAAGTCAACACAACGGGTGCACTAGTTTGCGAATCGGAAACGGCTGGCTAGTTTGTCTACCCGGACGGCATCTCGACACAAGTAGTGTACTATATATTAAATTCTATAAAAAATTCAATTTTAATATATTTTCAAATATCTCATTTGATATTAAATCTACAGACACCATAAGTTGACACAAGATAATATACACAGTATACACGCATTACATGTAAAACCTCAAAATTGCAATTTTACACATATCTTTTGGCTCTTAACCGCGGAGTTATTCGAATAAATGTATTATATTTTTATTCGTTATTCGGATAAATGTTGCAGTACTCTGGTTATGTGACCAATATTTCATTTAATTAATTTTTATACAAAAGTTGTATGTAAAAATTAATAAACTAATCAGTTCATATTACTCCAAAGTTTTCAGCAGTTGAACAGCCATTGGACATGCGAGTTTCACATTGGACGGATTTCCGTATCCATAAGCATAGTACAGTTGCAGTTCCTCATAATATTCCAAAACCTATGATCATTTCAAAATTATAAAAAAATTGTTAAATCTATTTAAAATAAAACCCCACACTGCAATGCTTACTTCTAAGTCTTCTTTACAGAATACAATACACCAAGGGGGAAGCGATTCGTCATCAGATAACCTTTCGTCGCGACATGCTTCATAGATAATGTTTACATCATCTAATAGATAGGCAAGTTAGTTACAGGTCTATATTGTCTATATTGTATATTTTTCGTTTTACGTACCTAAAGTAATATCGTTAGCTCCCATTTTAACTTTAACTCTATCAACAACTTTATTCATAAAATAGCTTTTTTTGAATTCTTTACTTTCGACCTCTTTTTCATCCTCGTGTTTTCGTTTTTTAATCTTTTCAATCTAAATCAACAACAATCTTCGGGTAAAAACAATGTAAATATTTATATTTTAATATGGTTACCGTTAAAAAGAAGTCATCGTCATTACATTTGGAAACGTCGGCAATATTTGTATTACCATAAACATTTTGTAGAAACAGTATTCCAGTTTCTTTACAACGATCTTCTCCTATTGTCAATGCCTAAAATTTTAAACCAATATAATGTATTGGCGTTTAATTATATTGTAAATTATTGTGATATTGTTATTCAATGTACTTTATAGTTGTCTGACTGTTTAAATAAATCTGAGAATGCTTTCCGAACTCTCAAAGCCAATTCCTTTATTTCAACATGACCTTTTGGGATCAAATTTTTATTGTTTAGCTTGTTTTTAATACTTTGTTGCCAATTCATAATAGCTTGAATTTCCGGTGGGGTCATTTTCGCATTTTCACCGATTTTTCCTTTTAAGATCTCAAGCGAATTTAACACACTTGTAGTAAAGCTACGTGTTAAAGGTTGCGTACCGTGACTGTTTACAGTAAAAATCTGAATTGGTTTATGATCTATAAAACAAAAATAACGTATTTTATTTTAACAAAGACTTGTTAAGTTATTAACAAAAATAGATTTAATAAGCTATTAGTAAAGTAAAATTTAAAGTAATTATAAATAAAACAAATAAATATTGTATGATAATATCTGTTTATAAATATTGAATTTTTTACTTTAAATCGTATCATCGAAGAATATAATATACAAATCCAGCAATAAGAATGGTGCTATTACTTACTAGGCGGTACAAAGATTTCTTTTGCAGAAACCAATTTGTAAGCGGTTTTCGTGCTTAAATACCAGTATTGATTTGTTTCTTGAGTGATTTTTAAGATATTATCAGCTACAAAATTGACACAGTCATTGTCGGATATAAAGGCTGTTAACTTTTCTTGAATACCCAACAACGGACAGTATGTACACTTTGTACCATCTTTTAAAGTTATAGTTGTTAAATTTTCGTTGAAATAAAATGCTACTTCGTATTCACTATTAGCGTTTTCGAATAGTACAGCCATAAAATTTGCAGCCCATACACCGTACAAAGAAGTTCTCCAATTAAGGCCTTCTATACCTTTGTAGTTGGATGCCGTAAATGGATCGTCACCGTCGGCTAGGCCTAACATGAAGAGCATAGTCATTATGTTTTTCTCGCATGCAAAGTAGAATACAGCATCTGGTCCTTCTTCATTAGTTTTTTTTCTGAAATCATACTACTGTCACATCTATGCACCAGGTCATTAAAAAATGTCAATATTATATTTTAGAGTGGTCTTTATTTTTCGCTTCAAATTAAAAAAAAAAAAACAAAACAAACTAGATGTTCTTAATGAAGTTTGGACGACTATGAGTTAATATCACAATCCTTCTTAAAATTAAAAATTAAATGTAGAGATAGAATTTTTGGAAATAGTCGCTTAAGGCCATAATGCTCTTCGAAACTTTCAAAATTAAAGGATATAGATTTTACTAATTTAAAATATGCAGTGGTCCAACACGAAAATTATTCTCTAAAATTAAAAACTTTATAAGTAACGCTATAACATACATAGTGTTGAAAATGTATATTACCTAAGCAATTCTTCGAGACGTATGGCCATCGGACAAGCGAGTTTTTTGTTATAAGGATTTCCATAACCAATTATATAGTACCAAGAAAGTTCCCATGCGTACTCCAAAATCTATAGCCATTTCAAAATTATCAAATGTTAATAGTTCGTGGAAATCACTTGTCTACTACCATAGCTTACTTCAAGGTCTTTTTGGGTGAATGCTTTGTACCACGGCGGAATCCTATTTTGGTCAATAGAATATTCGTAGGCACAGGCATCGTACATTGTGTTTATGATCTCTACAAAACAAAATAGTATAAAACCATTGAAACGACGTTGCTTTTGGTTGTTAGTTAGCTTACCAGGGTCAAGTTCTTTAGAATCTACGCCCAATTTGGCCGCAACCCTTTTCAAGACACCATCCATATGATGGCTTTCCTTGAATTCTTTCGCCTGATTCTCAATATATGTTTGAAACTCTTTACGTTTCGTATCGTTTTTTTCCATACTATCTAACTGTATATAATTTAAATAAGATTTACTTAGAAATAATGCAAAGGAAATCGCGACAATTTCAAACGTACCATTAGAAGGAGATCCGTAGGCTCACATTTAGGAATTTCGGTGATTTTTTTATCTTCAAATAAGCTTTGTATAAATGATAGACTTGAATTAACACAACGTGAATCCTTCATGGTCAAAACCTAAAATGTTCAAATATAATTTGAAATATTTGTATAAATTTACAGGGTTGTTTCAATTTCACGCTACAGTAATTTTTTCTAAGAAATAACAAATTTAGCTAAAAAAAGTCGTAAATACAATCCAGATTTCATTATCAATTGAAAATTTAACTCAATATCCACGGTAAAAAATATATAATTTCAAAAATTAACTTTAAGAGGTGACTTTTTGAAAGTAAAAGATTATAATACACTTCCCTCGCTGGCGACAAACAGTTTAAGATAAACTTGCGGCTATTTTGAATATTTGATTTTTAAATATATTAAATATAACGTCTTGTTATTAAACTCCATTAAGGTTTTATTAAAATTATTTTTATGGTTTACAAAATAGTTATTTTACCGTAGCATGAAATTTGAAAACTTTTTATATTACATGTGATTGTTAATCAGGGAACGATGTGATATACTTCATAATTGTTAGAGTTGTAATGCTGTTCGAATAGATATGGAAAAGCTGCACGAACTCTTGTTGCCAGTTCTTTCATTTCATCACGGCCATTCTGTGTTATACGTCTGTAGTTTTTGGTGTCGATGGTTGTTGTCCAATTTTTTATGGCTTGGAAATCGTTTTCACTTAACGTAGGACTTTTGGTAATTTTGCTTTGTAATTCTACCAGTTTCGGTAGCAAATCCTTGGAATAGCTGATCTTTGGAGTTCTCGTTCCATGTCTCGCCAACATTACAACTTGACGTGCCTTATAACCTACAAAACATGATTAGCGTAATTCATATTTGCTTTCTATCAAAAAAAAAAATACCTTTCTACACAGTTATACCTATTATTTTAACATTTTGTATCTAAACGTCATTTCTCACTTAAAATTAGATCGATTTTTTTCCAGCCTAAAAACATAATTGCAAGAGTCCCACAAGGAACTATATCCTCGCAGCTTTTATTTGACCTATATTTACCGCTGATTAACCATCAAGCGAAAAAACTACACTAGCTTAATTCGCTGACAACAATACTCTTATGGCATGAAACGAAAACCATTTAAATAAATGCAGTAAATGAACTACAGCAACATGTTGACAAACTAGATTAATGGTATAAATCCTGGAGAATCTTAGTTAGCTAATGTATATCCACTCAAACCACATTTCTCTTCGTCCACACACCGGCCATACAATTTGACTGACGTTTAACGTGGGGAACTCATGTTAAAATGTAATGCCAATAATTTTACTTCGAAACCCACATTTTTTCCATCTTCTTTTTTCAACAGAAATCCAATTTTAACACAAAAATTAACTTGTATGACTTCTTACTCAAATCAATCCAATTGTGCGGTACAGGCCGAGAATTTGAGGCGCAGCAAAAATATGACATACTAAAATAAAACAACATTCCAAACATTTCCTGATTTCCCAACATCCTTATGAAATACAACCAAGCAAAACTATCGTACCTACGATTGTACTCCGAACTCCTTAATCACCAAAATCCACTTATTTCCAAACTCTACAAAAATCACATCTCCCAAAACCCTCTTCGTCGTCTAAGAAAAAATTTGAGTAGTAATACGGA